TCTTCTTTTTTTTTTTTTTTTTTTGCATTTTCGCCTCTATTTTTACCTTTCATTGCGAAGTCATTTCATCCAATTTCTCAATAAAAAAAATATAAAATGATAAATATGCCCACTGTGAATAAGTCAAAATGAATTATGAAATAGTAATTAGCACAAAACGTCTTTACCTTTTAATATTATTGTGCAAAACTTTCTTATCTTTCACTTTTTGATATTTTCACCCTTATTTTCACATTTAATTATGAAAATTATCATTTTTATCCATTTTCTCAATTAAAAGTTATAAAATGACGAACAAAAAATTAAAAAAATAAATTGGGAATAATAGGTTGTTTCATCATCATTATACTAAATAACATTACTTTTTAAAAAATGAAAACCAAACAGTGGCTTAGTCTACACTAATCTTAGAGTATAGTAACAATTTATTTTATTTTATTTAAATAGAATGGTATATTCGTCATTTTACAATTTTTAATTAAGAAAATGGATTAAAATGATGATTTCCAATGAAATGCAAAAATAATGACAAAAATGCTTAAAAATGAAATGTAGGGACATTTTGTATAATAATATTGAAAGGTATGAACGTTTTATGCTAATTACCCTTTTAATAATTTATTTGGACTCATTTATAGTTTTTTAAGAAAATTTGAAGTATAATTGCAATTTGTTCTTTAATTTTTATTTTTTGGTTTTATTTTAAATATGAGAGTATATTTCTCATTTTATTTTTTTATTGAATAAAAATGATATTTTTTTCATAATGAAATGTGAAAATAGGAATGAAAATATCAAAAAAAAAAAAAAAATGAAAGGTAGAGACATTTTGCACAATAACATTAAAAGGTCGTGACGTTTCATACTAATAACCCGCGGTGTCTTTTGAAGTTTCACTGAAATCGATGGATTCAGCTGCCACTCTCAATGGAATGGAATGCTTTCTTTGTAGGATGACAGAATTTCTTGCTCATGATCTATCTCCTTTACTCCGTTTTTAATCAATTTATTTTATTTTGAGGTTTTTTATTTAAATCATATTTAAAATAAATAATTAAGTAAACGAGTGGAAGATGCAAAATTTCTAATCTTTGCCCCCATTACTTTGAAGGGTCCATATTACCATCACAATTTTTATTTGATATATCACATTTTCATTACAGTTAAATTTCTCAATCTTTGTTTATTGTAAAAATTATTTCCTTATCATTTTTCATCAAATTTTTATCTTCAACCTTCCATTAATTTGTACATTTCATTGTTGATTATAATTTATATCAAAATATTTTATTTTTATGCATAAATATGAGAAAAAATATTTTTTTGCACTTTTATTTATTTTTTTTAAAAAAATATGGTGAAAAATAAAATTTTTAAGCCATTTTAACGAACTTTTAGATATAAAACTATTATCAAATACAAATAGTGTTAATTAATGAAAATTTTGAGGATAAGAATGACGTGAAAAATCATTAGGGATATAAGTATTATAATGAACAAAGATTAAGAACCTTAAATACTATTAAAACGTAATGTAAAAAATAAAAATTTTAGTGAGAATATAATTACCCTTCTCTAAAATCCTCAACATGTCAAGAATCATAATAACAAATTTGACGTTGTCATGTTGTCATCAAACTTTTAAAGAAAGTTGATTCGACATGACTCCGTCAAGGAAAAATTAAATACTAATAATTCTTCTGAAAAGGCATAAATTCAATCAAACCGGTCATAAGTAATTTACTATTCTTAACTCTTTTAAAACTTACTTTTTAATTTATAATAGCTAAACCAAACATTGCTTGGGGCAAAAGAGTGAAAGCATGAAAGTAACATAAACGACTGATTACTTGGAGGGGTCGAGATTTGGCAATAATATCTATGGTCAATTTTTCTCCCCAACACTATAAAATTCGTGACCCAGATTGTCACTTTCCTTTGTACTCGTATTTCTTACATCTCTCTTAACATTTTTCTCTCTATATCTTCGCTTTAGAGTAATCATGTGTAGGTTCAAGCGAAAGTACGCAAGGTTTTTTTTTTTTTTTTTTGCAATATTTATTTGGCTTTTTGTATTATTATTTTTATCACATTTAAGTGAAATACGACTTTTATTTGATTTTAAAAGCTGTGTTGTTGTTTTTTGTTCGATTTGTTCGATGTTTATCAGATCTGGAAATCATTCTTGGGTGTAATTTATTATTATTCGGAAAATGAAGTTCTAGTTCTTATCTAAGAAAAAGTACGAAATTAAGGGGGATGTCCTCAATTGAAATTGCAATGAATTTTAAAAGTCATTCTAAATTTAGGTATTTTCAATTGAGATTTTATTGGATTTTAATTAAATTCATTAAAATTTAGGTGTCCCCAATTGAAATTTTAATAAAATCCTTTAAAATTTAGGTATCCTCAATAATTAGTGAATTTATAAAAATTTCATTAATAGAAAGATTTTAAAAGATTTGGATGGATTTCAAACTTAAAAATACATATAAGTAAATCTTTTGAAATTTCACCATATTTGATGAGATTTTTATGAAATTTGTAAGAATCTATTTAAATCCACCAAATTCATTAGAATTTATAATCATTTAAAATTTATTAAAATCTTAATTGAGAACACCCCTGTAAGTGTTAATCAATTTTAGAGTCCATAAGCATTAGTTATATAGTTGGATGTATCTCTCTCTATGCGACGAATTGGCTATTACTGAATTATCTGTTAAGTTGCTCATTTTTAATTTTCGTCAGTTCAGATCCTTATTTTTATTCGTGTTTAAGTGCGTCTCCAATGCTATGCCAACTTGGTGCAAAAATTGGTACACCAAATCATCACACCAATTTGGTGTAATTGATAATTGGTGTGTAATTGATAGTGTTACACCAAATCATTAGGTTTAATTTTTGAAGTTTTTCATTATTTTCTATTTGTCCTTTGTTTTATATTATAACAAATTGTAATCGTTTCTATATCCTTTTTCTTGTCACAATACACACAAGAGGTAATTTTCATTCATACATTCAATAGGTGGGTTACATAGTTTATATAGGAAAAAAAACTCCTAATTTTGGATAATCACAAATCTGTAGCTAATTAATTGATTATACACATAATTGCCTAATTCTATTTCCTTAAAATGATACAATTATATATGATTTATGTTTCCAGAAAAAGATTTCTAACAACTCACACCAACACTCCCCCTCAAGTTGATGCATACAGGTCTCTGATGCCCAACTTGTCAAATGAGTTGTGAAAGTCCTTGCTTGAAACTGCCTTTGTGAGTATGTCTGCTAGTTGATCCTCGGACTTTACAAAAGGGAAACGAATTGTCTTTGCTACCAAGTTTTCCTTGATGAAGTGTCGATCTATTTCCACATGTTTTGCTCTATCATGTTGAACCGGGTCATGAGATATGGCAATGGCAGCTTTGTTGTCACAGTATAGATCCATCTCAGCAATAGGAGCAAAGCCAAGTTCAGTGAGCAGTTTTCTGATCCAGAGGAGTTCACAAAGTCCTTTTGCCATTCCACGAAACTCCGCTTTAGCACTCGATAATGATACCACTTTTTGCTTCTTACTTCTCCATGTAACGAGATTACCGCCTACAAACATGAAGTAGCCTGAGGTAGACCTCCTATCTGAAATGTTCCCCGCCCAATCTGCATCTGTATAACCATCAACTTTCAAGTGATCATTCTTTGAAAACATCAGTCCCCTCCCTGGTGAGGACTTTAGATATCGAAGTATTCGAGTCACAGCATCCATGTGGTCTTTGCTAGGGCTATGCATAAACTGGCTAACTACACTTACGGCATAGGCAATATCTTGACGAGTATGAGACAAGTATATAAGTTTGCCAACTAATTTTTGATATCTCCCTTTATCCGTTGGCACTTGATCTGAACACTCACTCAGCTTAAGGTTTTGAGTGATAGGAGTATCTGCTGGTTTACATTCCAACATCCCCACCTCAGCCAACAAGTCTAGCACATATTTTCTTTGGGATAGGAATATGCCTTGTCTTGATCTAACCACTTCAATTCCCAGGAAATACTTGAGGCCTTCCAAGTTCTTTATCTCAAACTCAGACGCCAGCTGTTTCTGAATTCTGGATATCTCTTCTTTATCATCCCCTGTGATAATCATGTCATCCACATACACTATCAATGCAGTTACTTTGCCTCCATTATGCTTAAGAAAGAGTGTATGGTCTGAGTCACTCTATTTGAACCCATATTTCTTCATTGCCACACTAAATCGTCCGAACCATGCTCGAGGTGACTGCTTCAAGCCATATAATGCTCACTGCAATTTACACACGACATTTTGTGAAGACCCTGTATAGCCCGGAGGGAGGTCCATATAGACTTCTTCTTCAAGGTCGCCATGAAGAAATGCATTCTTCACATCAAGCTGATGTAGTAGCCAGTCAAGATTAGCAGCGAGGGACAATAGTATTCTAACAGTGTTTAGTTTAGCAACTGGTGAAAACGTCTCTTAGTAGTCTATCCCATATGTCTGTGTATACCCCTTTGCGACTAGCCTTGCTTTGTACCTTTCAATGGATCCATCTGCCTTGTGTTTGATGGAAAATACCCATCTGCATCCTACTGTCTTCTTTCCTTCAGGTAATGAAACTAGTATCCACGTGTTATTCTTTACTAGTGCCTCCATCTCATCTTTTATTGCCTGAGTCCATTTAGAATCTGATAAGGCATCCTGAATTCCTGTTGGCACATGATCAGAAGAGAGAACATGTGCAAAAGCTTTCAGTGGATTAGATAACTTCGTGGTGGATACATAGTTGGCAACTGGATATCTTGATCTTCGTTTTTCAATGTCTGGAGAGTATCTGCTTGGCGGTTTGCCTCGATTATGCCTGAAAGGTAAATTAT